AAGGCACGAGGGGTTGGTTGCACTCGATTGGGAAACCGATCCGCATAAACATGTGCCATTTTTTATTTCGTTTGAGCCACGCAACAGACACTATTCACACGCGACACTGACATTGACTGTATGTATAACTGAACTGAATAAAATAATAAACTGTACACAAACATCGTTCCAAATTCTTTCGCTTTTTTGTTTCCGATGCGATTAACCGGTAAGGCGGATTATATCCGTTGTTGTCAAACACGAGCACATGATATTGAGACAGGGCGGTACTCAAACTTCCAAAGGGCTATAACTTTGTTACTTTAATTTTACCAGAAAAATGGTAAAGGAAAAAACATTTCTTTTGATCAGATCTATTCACTGTTAAAATAAATGACTCAACTTCGAAGTCACCCTGTATATATATATATATATATATATAACAAAAAATAGGAAGATAGTGGGCAAAATTCGCAAAAAGAGGGAAAGTGGATACGAGCAGAAAATAGGATAGGTAACCCGAGCGAAATCGTTTCTGCTGTTTGGCTTCATGGGGCCGGAAATGAATGCACATATGCAACCGCAGAAGTAGATACACATGCCCATACATCCGGATACGGGTGTATAACCTGATGAAACTAAGATGGAGAGGTAAAAAATGACACACGAAGTCCCCAACAAGAGCCAACCTACATATTGTAGTATAAAATGGGTAGAAGACCTCAAATTTTCAAAGCGACATCTAACCATAACCACAACCGGTCGCGCGGCTGTGGTTAGATAACTATCAAAACATCAAAATCTATCAACTTCATGGAATTCTATTAATTGCAAATGCTATATACGCTTGTTACTTGACCCGTACATAATTTTACATTCATTAGTACTTAGATGATTTTGAGGAAATGTATTACTTGGTACTTATACTAAGTGACATTTAAATCCGAACACCCAGTTTAAATGGTTTTATTTTAATAAAATTTTGTATAAGTACTTAATGAAGCATAATAAGTAAATGATAAAAATTTCAAAATGATTGCAATGCTTTAAAGCCCTTTGATCTTTAATAGTGTGTGGATGCACTCTGATGTGCTACGCATTCTCCAACGCGCCTAGGCATACTTCTGATCAGGTGGTCAATGTCCTCCTGTGGTATCTCATTCCAGGCAACCACCAACTCCTCTCGAAGTGCTTCTAGAGTCTGAGCAGGACGTTGCAAACTGAGCAATCTCCTACCCATCATATCCCAAACGTGCTCAATTGTTGGTAAGTCGGGAGATCTTGGTGGCCATGTGACTCTTGCAACATGTGGTCGGGCATTATCTTGTTGGAAAGTTGGATCTGCCAGGGTGTCAAGATAGGGTAAAAGATGGGGTTCTAGAACTTCGTGGATATAACGCTGCGCGTTCATGTTACCTCTGATGAAGATTAAAGGTGACCTGGAACCATAAGCTATAGCACCCCAAACCATAACTCCAACAGTGTGATGAACAACAAAAAACTGTGGATTCCTCCTTTCACCACGTCGCCTTCTAACCCTGGCACGACCATCGTGCATGCCTAAACAAAATCGAGACTCGTCACTAAAGACAATACTGTTCCATTCCTGATCCCAGAGTGACCGTTGTCTGCACCACTCAAGGCGATTACGTCGGTGTTCTCGAGTTAAAGGGAGGACCCAGTGTGGCCGGTATGAAAACAAGCCAAAACTTCTCATTCGTCGGTAAACACTTCGCATGCCAATAGGTCTTCCGTGTTCTGCAAACCATTGATTTGCAATGGACCTGGTAGTGGAGAAACGGTCCCTTAAGGCCAATAATCTTAGGCGGCGATCTTCACGGTCTGTTGTTCTACGGCGGCGTCCAGTGCCCCTTGCTCTTTGCGTACGGCCTTCTCGAAGCCATGTCTGACAACACCTAACCACAGTGTCTACACTTCTTTGCACTCTAACTGCAATTGCCCGAAAATAAAGTCCAGCTTCCCGATAGTCTTATAAGTTATTTTACTTCCATACACATACATACAATTCGTACGTTATTAGAATAATATCAATGTAACGGTTTACTACAAAGCACCACAATCCTTCGATATAGGATAACGGGTAATAACTAGCGACTATCGTATAACCATTTAGCGCTATTTTGCATACACGATAATAGTGTCGAAATTGCACGCGTACAAACAACAATCTGATATACTTAACATAATACACGATCCCCTTTTTCTGAACATACTATATGATGGTTCTGAAAAGAACCGTTTTTTTTTTTATAACCTATTATCGCACGCCGTACTCTCTCTCTCTCTCTCTCTCTTTCCGGCAAATAGTAAATCCGTCAATTCCATTAGGCACGTTCGCCCCTAATACGTCTTGCCAGCTGTATATCTTTCGGCATGATCGTTACTCGCTTAGCGTGGATCGCGCACAAGTTCGTATCCTCGAATAGTCCGACCAGGTACGCTTCGCTAGCTTCTTGGAGTGCCATTACAGCAGAACTTTGGAATCGCAAATCGGTCTTGAAATCTTGCGCTATTTCACGGACCAGCCGTTGGAAAGGCAATTTTCTGATCAACAATTCGGTACTTTTCTGATAACGACGAATTTCTCTGAGAGCCACAGTTCCCGGACGATAACGGTGAGGTTTCTTAACTCCGCCAGTAGCAGGAGCACTTTTACGGGCAGCCTTCGTGGTTGATTGCTTCCTGGTCTTATAAGTCCCTTACTAAGTTGACGAAATCATACAGGTCTCCGTACTCTAGGCATCGTAACCGATCATAAAGGATGCCAGGAACCAAAATCCGCCAACGTTAATTCTTCACTGCGGCTGAAATATTCATTTTTAGAGCGTTAGTGAATAAAAAAAAGCAGTATAAAAACCGGAATGTCCAACTGATAAGGCTGAAAATTTTTTCACTTGTTATTTACAGTAAGATAAATACATTCACCAACTTTTATTAAAATAAAACCATTTAAACTGGGTGTTCGGATTTATATGTCACTTAGTATATATTCCTCTTTCTTGGTCCCTGATATCGGTTAAACTGTCCATTAGAAAAATCTATGCTCATGGATACCTTTTATCAGGAAATACCTTTGTAGTAACAAATTCAGACAATTCCACTAAATATGCTCCTGCCATATACCTTGTGCCGTCTCCTTACCCAATGGAATGGTGCTACTGACATAATATCCCCCAAGGGACGTTCAAAATCGGACACTCTAATTATGTTGATACGGGAGATCTCATTTGGTGATGACCTAATTGTTTGTGAAAACGTTGCCACTATAAATCTTCACCAACAATGCATGAACCAACCTTAAATGAAATAGCCACAAAGGGGGTATCAAGCAGGGTCTCGTTTGCGTAGAATGGAAATGATTGGAGGAGTAATTTCAGCAGAGGGAAGTGTACTGCTGCTACAAAAGAGGATTAATCGCGTATTTTAATGAAAACCCTGTGATTTTTAAATAATCAGAACAGGAATGTAAAACAACGACTCTGCTTATTTTTTGTACCTATATCAGATGGAGAATAATACTGACAGAAGAAATTTTTGAACCTAGACAGGGTGTTCCATTGCTGAGGTGAACATCAATGTTTTTTGTACAGATGTATATTTTTCGTTAAAGATGTGGTTTCGTCTAATCTTGATCAACAAATAGCAGTATTAAAAAGTCCACATTGCAAAATGTAAAAGTCGACTCTAACCTATGTAATGGGTGAATTTTTTGCTAGTATCTTTTTGGGATCACTGTTTTTGACAGATGTGGCGTGTATCGTGTCTTGTGTCGTTGTCAAACTTGTTCAGTTTGGTCTATAATTTAACCATGAATCGACATACGAACGAACAACGCTTGCAAATTATTGAATTTTACTATCAAAATTCATGCTCGGTAAAGAGAGTGCATCGTGCACTGCTTCCAATTTATGGGCAATTTGGTCGGCCTACTGAGGGAGCTATTCGGAAGCTTGTGACTAAATTTTGAACCCAGTTCACATTATTGGACATTAAACCACCAACACGCAGACGTAGAGTGAAGACTGAAGAAAATATTGCGGCTGTATCCGCCAGTGTTAGTGATGACCGTGAAATGTCGATTCGCCGCCGTTCGCAGCAATTGGGCCTCTGTTACTCCACTACGTGGAAAATTTTGCGACAGGATTTGGGTGTAAAACCTTATAAGATAGGTGCAAGAATTGAAGCCACACGACCTACCACAACGTTTCCAATTTGGTGAATGGGCGCTGGTAAAGTTGGAGGAAGATCCACATTTTTATCGAAAAATTGTGTTCAGCGACAAAGCTCATTTCTGGTTGACTGGGTACGTTAACAAGCAAAATTGCCGCATCTGGAGTGAAAACCAGCCAGAAGCATTGCAAGAGCTAGCAATGCATCCCGAAAAAATCACTGTTTGGTGTGGATTATGGGCCGGTGGCATCATCGGGCCGTACTTCTTCAAAGACGACAATGGCCGGAACGTAACTGTGAATGGCGAGTGCTACCGTGCGATGATAACAACTTTTTTTTGCCCAAAATGGAAGAGCTGGACTTGGCTGACATGTGGTTTCAACAAGACGGTGCCACATGCCACACCGCACACGAAACAATGGCCCTATTGAGAGGCGAGTTCGGTGAACAGTTTGGGGCCCGTCAATTGGCCGCCTAGATCCTGTGATTTAACGCCGGTGGACTATTTCTTGTGGGGCCATGTTAAGGCTAATGTCTACAGGGATAAACCAGCAACGATTGACGCACTGGAAGCTAATATTGAAGCATTTATTCGTGAGATACCGGCCGATATGTTGGAGAGAGTGTGCCAAAATTGGACCTTGCGCATGGGCCATCTAAAGCGGAGCCGCGGCCAACATTTACATGAAATAATCTTTAAACATTAAATTATATCGACCGTTCTAACGACTCAAATAAAGATTTAATCGTTTTTTCAAACTTATTGTGTTTTTTTTGAAAATCAGATCTCTTAAAAAGTCACCCGTATAAGCTTTATCTCTATTTTTCAGCAACGGCAGTAGAAGGAAGATCCTTATGTAATCATCGGAGGGCTTACAAGTTCTTCATAGACTCCATCTCCCCCAGATGCCATTTTCCAGCTTTTCCGTGTAAATCATATGATGATTTCATAGCAGGAAAGTGTTTTCCTTGTACAGAAGAGAGGTGAGTCACTCTAGTCAAAAGTATAGTATTTTCACAAATAACTAAACCAGAAGCTACACTTAGGCAGTTTCCCCAGTGCAATTTTCAAACGCCGCGAGATAACCGATCGGCGGGGTTATTACATATACAGCGTATGTTCCTATCTGGGAGGAACAGCAAAGCAATATGGAGTTCTCTTAGGAAACTTAATATAATTTAGTCCTCTATAAATACTCTTTCAGAGAGCTTCATTGACGCAGATCAAATAAATTCACATTTCTCAAATATTAAGATAATAACCAAGACACAAAAGCAATTAGAACTACTGAACAAATATGAAAACAATAAGTTTCCCAAGTCATTCTGTTTCCACAAGGTTGTCAAAGAATCTGTTGCGAAGAGTTGATCATTTATTAAAACTAATGCTGTAGGGGCTGATAGAATCTCACTCATTATTATAAAATACATTTTCACATTGCTCTTAGATCATATTACATTTATCATCAATCACGCAATATCAACATCCTGTCTCCCTGATGCTTGGAAGCAGGCTATCGTCATACCTGTTCCTTAAGTAGCGATTCCCACGTCTGTAACGCAACTTAGACCAGTCAGCTTACTGCCCGCATTTTCGAAGCTTTTGGAACGGGAAATGAAGATACAAATATCTCAGTATATTTTCAGTAATGAAATAGTTCCATCAATGCAGTCTGGATTCAGGGAAAACCATAGTACAACAACTGCTCTAGCCAGTGTCACTGATGATGTTATAAGAAGCCTTGATCAAGGAAATATCACTTGTTTAGTTCTGCTGGATTACATAAAAGCTTTCGATATGATAGATCCTGAAATTCTGATACTGAAGCTGTCTTACTATGGTTTTACTGACGCTGCAGTCAATTTGATAAGTTGCTATTTGTCAAATAGAAATCAAAAGGTCCTAACAGCCTCGAAAATGCCACAGTCAACTGCTATAAAGTTTAGTGTTCCTCAAGGTTCCATATTGGGACCTTTACTTTTCTCTCTATATATACCGGATTTTCATCAATATGTCCATAATTGCACAATCCATCACTATGTGGCTTTTCTTTGGCCTATAAACAAGTTGTGCAACTTTACGGTTTTTACTTCGCTTTTTTTTATAAGAAAACTTACCTTGCAAGTACTAAATCCCAGTTTGTGGGCCTCTCTATGCGTTGTGGGCCAAGAAATTCTCCTCCCAACAGCGTCACTCCATAGAGTACTTAATTTTAAATAATGGGCACGTCTGTTTTTCACGATTATTCTTCTTAATGCTTTTCGGTCGGCATTTGTGATATTACTTTTTTCACATATCGTGGCTTAATATCAACTGAACCAGTTACGTTATATCTTCTAACAATATTTCTCTCACTGTACCGCGATAAGTCTAACAAAGTTGCAAATTCTGAGTTTGATTTCCCAGAATTAAAAAATTTAATTATCACTGATCAACAGCCAAAAAATATCCTAAATGAAATCAACAAAATATTACTATTTTTAATGTGCTAAAACCGGAATGAAACTTATTTTTTCAATATTAGTTCAAGTTTTAGAGATACGGTAATTATATGTGTTCCTGCTATGACAGTTTATTATACTGTAATTCACAAGAATGCAGGTGCTACATTTTTATATTCGGCAAGGAAAGATGATGTAATCGGCATGATTGTGTTACGTTATACATACGTGTACATTATATTGTTTTATATTAGCCATTTTTTACTCAGTTGGCTGACAGCGTTCATGCAAGATGTCTCGAAAGTGTGTAAACAATCCAGATCAGTTTTGTTACGTGTGTGGTGATGTGACTTTTGCGTCTCAGAGACGGTCTATTACTCCACTAATAACAAAGGCATATCAGCTTTATTTCGGTTGTAAACTAGGTGATCAAGACAAACAGTGGGCACCCCACATCTGCTGTAATACATGTGCTTCAAGTCTGAGGAGCTGGTTAAATGGCAAAAAACGGTCTATGCGCTTTGCTGCCCCAATGGTTTGGAGAGAGCCTACAAATCATATTAATGATTGTTACTTTTGCATGGTACCTTGTGTTGGACAAGCCACAGCTATGTCCAAGAAAAAAAAAATCGGTTATTAACTACCCAAATATACCATCTGCGATGAGACCTGTGCCTCACAGTGACGAAAATCCTATTCCAAAACCCCCAGAATCCTACACTTGCGAATCAGATCATGGCGATCGAGTGATTCGTCAGGAAGAAGATATGCCATCAACTTCAAGAGATCCTGATTTTATACCGAGTACGTCATGCCACCAACCGCACAAAATAACACAGTCAGAATTAAATGATCTTGTAAGAGATTTAGAACTTCCAAAATGTAAGGCAGGATCAAGAATGCAGCAGTGGAACTTGTTAGAAGACGATGTTTCGGTATGTGTTTTTCGTAAACGCCACAAAGTCTTAGAACCATTTTTCAATATGGAGAATAACTTGGTTTTCTGCAGTAACATTAACGGCTTACTGGCGGCTTTAAATATAAACTATAACCCAGAAGAATGGAGATTATTTATAGACAGTTCAACATTGAGTTTAAAGGCAGTGTTATTGCATATTGGAAATATTTTACCATCTCTTCCTGTAGGGTATGCAGTTCACATGAAACAATCATATGACAATATGAAGTACCTATTGACATGCATAAAATACGATGAGCACCAATGGCATATTTGTGGCGATTTGAAAGTTGTTGCACCTTTACTTGGGCTGCAGCTAGGCTACACAAAGTTTTGCTGTTTTTTGTGTGAATGGGACAGTCGGGCAAAGGCACTTCATTACACCAGACAAAACTGGCCTGTTCGTCAATTCCTAGAGCCAGGTCAAAAAAATGTACAGCATATGCCATTAGTAGATTCGAAAAAAAATTTATTACCACCACTGCATATCAAGTTGGGCCTAATGAAAACTGTGTCAAGGCATTAGATAGAGATGTATCAGCTTTTCAATACCTGCGTCAGAAATTTCCAAGACTAAGTGAGGCAAAGGTTAAAGAAGGTATTTTTGTTGGGCCACAGATTCGAAATATTTTGAAAGATACACAGTTTGAAAACACTTTAACAGGTATTGAAAAAACTGCTTGGAATGATTTCCGTCTGGTGGTCACTAATTTCTTGGGAAATAGAAAAGCTGACAACTGTAAAACCCTTGTCAAAAATATGCTGTCATCGTATCAAAAGATGGGCTGTAATATGTCTCTTAAGATACATTTCCTATACTCACACCTGGACTTTTTTCCTGACAATTGCGGAGCCGTAAGTGATGAGCACGGCGAACGTTTTCATCAGGATATTTCAACAATGGAAAAAAGGTACCAGGGAAAGTGGAATCCTTCCATGCTTGCAGACTACTGTTGGACTCTTGGTAGAGATGCTCCAGAAACGATCCATAAAAGAACAGCAAAAAGACAGCGCATATAGTGATTCTTATAAGTATATGAATCTTGTTACTTTTTTTAATATATCCTTAAAAATAAAAAGTTTTTTTTCTAAACCGCAACTAATTTTTTTATTTCATTGTCATTTTTGGATTCAGCGCCCCAAAATTAACAAAGAGGTGCACTTTTCCCACAAGATACAATTAAAAAACTAAAATTTGTTGTCCAGTTTATCAGTAACCGAATTTTCTCACTAATAAACTTTCCTCTACCCATTTTGAGAACCTTAACTACCCAAAACTATTTTAAACGTATTTTGAAAGCTGTGATTAATAAAAACAATTGTGATGGCTTTTATTTTTCACAGCCACCTATGCATTATAGACTTATCTTGCATTGAAATGAAAATAGGTTGATATGATGTAATTGCAACATGTGTTATTTTTATGCTGCAAATTTGATTAGGGAGTGATAAAGTTGGTGTTTTCTACTATATATTATCAAAATATTCATTGTTAATATTTTAAACCTATAACACCCTGCTACATTTTTATTATTTGTGTTTGATAAGAAAAAAACTAAAATTTCAATAGTTGGGCCAACTGAAGTGGGAAGGGACTCGTATATCCACAGCAACATTGTATATAATTGGTAATCTAAAAACAGATTCTTTTCTGTCTGTGAGTTTTGTTCTCTCTCGTTCGTTGTAATCCAACAACACGTATCGCAGTTTAACGAATATTGAATCCTTCGTGAGAGTTCGACATATTCAGCGACTTTGCAAATATACAGCCAGTTGTGTCAATTTCATTCTGCTCAAAGGCTCTGCGATTCCTCTATTTTAGTTTCTTTCTACTCCAGCTCTTCACGAGAGTGTCGGAATTATTTCACCTGCGGCACTCTCGTTGCGTAAACAGTTTTACCAAGCGTGGGAACATTTCATCCCCTAAAGTACTCTACTAATTTCGCACCAGCTGACGTATGTCGCACCAGAATTTATCGATACCAAGTTGGTGTTTACGCAAACATAATTTACCTTCTTCACAAAAAATATGTCGTAGAGGTCTTACGGGTGTTTATCATTTTAATCGATCGTCTGTCCCTCTATATATCCAGGAGGCTATCGGTGGATGATACTCTCGTTTATCCCTTTCTAAATACCGAGACTCCGCTGCTACTATGAGGAGTTAAATGGTAGTAGACTGGGTAGATTGTTCCACAAACTCGGCCACTTCTGGATGTACGAAGTTCGACGTGGTTGGAATGGGAGGTCGAATCCAGGCGGGTCTGTCTGGCAGGCGCATCGCGTGGCGGCATTATGGAGAAGCAAAGCCGGTAGAAGGGGTCAAGGTCACCAACATACCGTCTGTGCGAGGCGGTCCCGAGGCTGTTCGTTAAAAGAGAGTCATCGATCAGTCGCTCAGCTCTAGTCTGATCAGCACCGATCATGGATAATGTAGTGGGCGCGTCAACACGTCAACTAGGCTACGACCTTGTACAAAGTGAGGAGGTTATATATACTAAGTGACATATAAATCCGAACACCCAGTTTAAATGGTTTTATTTTAATAAAATTTTGTATAAGTACTTTGACCTTTAATAACACT